ACTTTATTTAAAACATACAAACTTTCAAAATAATTTACATTAATGGTATGATAAATGAGAAGTATTATAATTATAATTGAATTTATAGAAAGCACACAAATATTATTATTAAACATTTTTACAAAAAAAAACAGAATTAGTTTAACAAATGAATTAAATTATATGTAATAAGTATTTTAATTAATGAATTGTGTATTGAATTGAATGTTTTGATCGCAATGTTCATTGGTTTCAAGCCTAAGATCAATGGCATTTAAAATCCAGTTTCGATTAAGTGGTGATCCATTGGTGACAATGAAATGTTTGAATTGTTGGCACAGATTGTTGACGAGATCACCTCTTAATGGGTCTATCCTTTGGGCCCATTCTTTGCCTTCAATTGAATAGCTTTCCATAACGTTATCGAAGACTTCTTTGTATTGAACACAAAACTGATCCATCAATTGGTGTTCAATTGGTATTTCATTCAAATTCATTGAATTGGTATCCAATCCATCGTTCAATGGATCAATCGATTCGTTCATTTGTGGATCACATTCATTGAATTCAATGCCAGACTCACCACAAGACACACTCTGTGTATCAAATGGATTGACAAACGACTTCGTGTCAAATATATCACCGAAAAGATTGCTTTGGGATCTGTTGGGCGCCGTTTGAGGAGTTTGTGATCGATTTGTCATCGGAAGCGATGGAGTGCTCATTGGATGCGTTGGACGATAGCTGTCAACATAATGGCGTCGTTCGGATCCGTTGAGTCCAACCATCTTCTCCTCGATTGTCATTCGCCGCAGATATTGGAGGCCAGAGGAGTGGCGATCGACACTGCGGTCATCGGCGGTGTGGTGTCGGCCGTAATGGCGGTCGTAATAGTCGGGTGAGCCATGTCTTGGGCGGTGGGGTTGCGGTCGTGACCAGTGGTCAGACACACGACTCACGCGATGTGTGACTCTATTGACGGCAGTAATGGTTTTCTTGACCCGTATTTCGCTGTCTTTGACGTAATAATTGTTTTGACGTTTGAGTCGATTATTGACCAAATCATTGATGAATCGGTTCCTAATCTTTGGTCTCATCTCTGGTTTTGAGTTCAATTCAAATGTCATTCAAATGACGAATGAATGAAAGAAATGATAATTAAAACGCATTAAAAAGCAAACAATCGTTTAATTGATATAATAATGAAATCATTACTGAATTCAATGCTAAACACGTGTTACACAAATGGGCTGTACTTTACATATGGTTTACAGGTGTCGAGTGTTTCACAAGTCATGTATTAATTAACTACTTTCCATCAAATATTGATTTAGAAATTGTTGTAATTTTAAATATATTGACAATTCATTCGTTAATTAATTGTTTTGTGTATTTCTGGTCTAAAATATATATAGATTTATGTAAAATATATGTACAGTAAAAGCAATTGAAATGACATCTAATATACTGTAGTTATAACCAAATAATTAGCTTTCAATCAATCATTCATTCAAATCAAATGTTTTAACTTTTAGAGACAATTATGAGATATTATGTGTTTTATATGTCTTATAAATAATGAGAAAATATTGATATATTTGAGTGTTTTGTTACTTTTGATAATAATATATAATATTATGAAACATAACTAAACTCTATTACATGTGTCAACACATGTATGTAAAAAAGGGGTTCAAATCGTGAGTCAACGCAACACTCACTCCAAGTATTGCATCAAATGTTATAAAACTTTTTGTCAGTGTTTTGTTTGAATGCATCAAATGTTGGGAACCAAGAGATGGCATAAGCGGTCATTCATTGGCTGCAAATGCAATGCTTTTTGAAATTGAATTTATTGTTTAAAGACGTCGTGCACTCAACTCGGCGTTGATTTTCAATACACTCGTCGTATGAATACATCAAATCATTTATAAACGATTAAAATATAAAAAACAAAATTTTTCACATTTAAAATAAAATTTTATATAATTATTATTTTCTATGAGTGAGAGATGTAATGAATTTATAAATATTTACTCCATTATACAGTGTTATGTCAGAGTGTGTTAACACAATGACAGTGTTTTTAATGCTAAGATTTCAATGAATTTTCTAACTTTTGGTGTTTTTTTGTTCATCTTTTTCTCAATTCAATGATCGCATGAAAAGAGTTACGAAAAATGTTTTTGGTTTGAAGTTTGCATTTATTATTCAGTTTTGTATTTCTTCCCAAAAACATTGATAATTACTAATTATTAATTAAAATAATATAATTATTAATTAGTTCTCTCTCCACATATGTATTGATTGCTAATAAATTATTTGCAGACAATTATCGATAAAATAGTTTATTTTGTTATAATGTATTCAACACTATCTAATTAGAGAGAGAGAGAGAGAGAGAGAGAGAATGTCTGTCGACCGCATAGTTACACTTATCCTCCCCTCACATACCAAACCCCTAATCAATGCGAAAACGATTAAAATTAGTTTCATTTCCTTAATATAACTGTAAAATCAAGAAAAATATTGAAATTTGTTTTAATTGAATGCCATTTAAAGAGTGGCGAAAACTAGAAGTTCAAAGAAAACTCGGCTTCTTATACAATGTTTAATGTTTTAATTGAATTTTCAAACATTTGTTGATTTGTGTTTCAATTGAAGGGAGATTTGGCTGCTATGAGAAGATCATGAAATTTCCAAACGGCTATTCAATTAATTACTATTCATTAAAACATATCAATCAAAATGTAATCTTAAGTAAAGATAATAAACTGATTCATCAAAATATCTAATAAATTATATAATTATAAACACGACTTAAACTATATTTTCATTCACTTATTCATTGAGAAAATAACTAATAGTCTGTGAAGTTGTGGGAAAAATGCGGAGAGAGAGAGAGAGACCCGAGATATTTGAATGAATTATACATTTATGTTATTTTTGGTTATACAGTATGACCCCGTTATAAGGCAATAATCAATGTAAAAGTATGCCTTATATAGGGTTTAGCAATATATCGGGTTCTCGATTATGTACATTATATACTACCCATGCGAGCGATCGGTGTTTCAATATTCTATGACTTAAAACGGGTTTAGCCTAATATCCGAACGGCTTATAACGGGGTTATACTGTATTTGTTTAAAATTGTTATCGGAATTACATATGAAACACATTTGATGGGAGGAAAAGGCGCTAAACATGCGTTGAGTGCGTCTCTATGCGTGATTGGCTACTATAACGTTGGGTCTCTGCAATTGGATCACCTGATGTCTGATAGCGCCGAACTGTTCCGGACTCATCGTCAACACTGTCCTCAATGCTGGCGATAGGGTTGCGTTCGTCGACGCCGTTTCGTCCAACTCTTCGGGTATTTGTTTCAACACAACTGAACCGCTGTCGTCGTCTCTGAAGAGATGGTCGCCCTCCAGGTGTCGGATGGCCTCCACAATGGTGTCCAGGTTTTGCCGAGAAGTACTTCCGTAACTGCCATTTACCGGGTCTATGATCTCAAGTGTGACGCCTCTGTCGATGGCTTCGCTGGCAATGAACGGGACATCAATTGGTAGAGCGATGGCCGCCGGTTGAGAACACGTCTTCGTCTTTTTGGGCGAACAACTGTTCGATTTGGACGACAGGTCCTGCGGTTCAACGTCTGTGTGGCCATCGATGACCTCTGTTTTGATGGATGAGGTGACGGGTGTTGTGAAGCATTTGGGAGCAGAGATGCCACACATCTGAGGACTGGCCGGACAACTGTTGGTCTCGATTTCGATCGTTTCGCCGATCACTTCGTCTGCAGCCACGTCTGATTCTGTCAACTCTTGAGAACTACTCGACATATCGTTGTGTTTCTGGTTTTCACACAAATGAGCGAAATGTTAGTCAATGTAGACATTGATTGATTGCGAGCTAATTAGCTAATGAAGGCATTAACAACACTTACCACTGGTTTGTAGTGATACTGAACGTTATGTGCGATCTCTCGGATCTTTTCGGGATATAATTGAGTTTCGAGGGCTCGGGTCTGGTCTTCGAGTGTCATTCGCAGACGTCTTTCTCTGTCCAACTGTAGCCTGAGTTCAACCATTTCGCGCTTCAGGTCATCGGATGTGGGTTCGGTCGAGTCGACCATTGAAGTGGTGGCCGACTTAGGGCTGCGACAGAACACCTCATCTGATGAGTCGCAAGAGTCGACACCATTGGTGGCCAGCGGTGTCTTCTCCAGTTTGATCCGCTTATGAAGAGGCGAGTTATCGTTGGAGAGTTCACTCTCGGGTGCCATTTGATTGTTAACCAATCGCTTCAATTGACAGTTTTGAGCTAAGAGTCGGGTCTTCTCCTGTTCTAACTGATAGATATAGTCAGCCGTGTGTTGTAATATCGCCGCCTATTATATACAGACAATACAGACAGAGGTATTCAATTAGTATATATTGCTTGTATTGATTGGTATGGATAGGTATTTGCACAACAGTTTGTTTGAACAAATGTATGGCAAATAACAATATAATCATAGAATATGCTAATAATGGTAATGATATGTAAAGTATGCAAACTTTGCTCAGTTTCTCTCCGTCGTGATGAGGAAGTAATGTCCGCAAAGACTGGAAGCCGGCGTTAATGCTCTGCATTCGTCGTCTTTCATTAGAGTTAGCGATCTCTCGACGGATCCTCTTCTCGGTCTCCAACTGACTCTTCGGACTCGACGGACGTCCCGACAATCGACTGCAATAACACATTCACACAATGTATTCATCGCTCATATGTTTTAAATATCATTACATAGAGTACTGGTGTAGTACTGCTGTACTCAATATCATATGTAATAGCAATCATATGGTGTTTTAACATATACTGTGTGTAACTGTAAACCGGATCGTAAGCGGCGGCAACCGGGGGTTGGGGTGGAGTTGGGGTGGGTTTGGCAGCACTTCAATCACTATTGATTCAAAACTCATTAAACGCTATATTAGTGAATGCCTGGTAGAGTGCAATGGTTTAGTGTACTTGTAGTACATTGTAGTACACAATGCTATGTATAGCATGAGAGAGGAATGTGATCCATGTCTTAGTCACTACAACTGATCTGTCATTCTTGGAAACACGGCTTTCCGTTTCCATGTATGCCATCGAAGGTCAGCCAAAGCATACATATGTCACACATCTTCACAATTCATATTCAATTCAATACTAATAGTCTATAATTATAACAATTACGGCGAGCGGGGAGTGAGTGGACCCGGCATTCACTACATGTATACCTACTCTACCCTACCATACCTTCCCATACGATGCCATCCCCTCTCACTCTGGCATTCATTAGAGTAATGTATTAATGCATTATTGATGCCCACAAATACTGTGTACCCTATCTATAGTGAACTCAACACTTACTCCACTATACTATTCATTGATAGATAACTCGTGAATAAAAAGCACAAAAACAGTGTTTGTATTGAAAACGATGGCATCGGTTGAGAAGCGTAACGAAAAATATATCAAAAATTAATCATTTAATTGAAAAAATAATTCAATTTGGCATTCAATACAACATTTAATATTCACGTATTGATTGATACGTCTATTGAGTTCATAACACAAACACTTCACTACAGTATTGCATATATAGCGGCAAAAAACTATAGGATATGTATATATAGACTGTATATAAGTATATAATATATAAATGTAATAAATGTATACAATATATGCGGAGATAAGCGACAATTGATTCATACAATCAGATGTTATGACAGTATGTATGCCAGAGTAGAGGGGGTTCGGGAGGTGTGAGGGGTGTGTGAGAGAGGGGTGTGTTTGGGCTGAGGTATGGGTAGAGTAGCGGCAAAACATGTGTACAGCTATTAAAAGGCGCTCTCAATGTGTGGCCAAAAAGAGATGTGTTTTACACTTACTTTGGGAGCGATTCACGACTTATTGTCGTCATATTCACCATTAGATCCGATCAAGTGATCAATCGATGGCTTGTCTTCACTGATGAGAAGCACTGATGTCTGCACACAATGTGTATATCACTTGTGATTATGATTAATACAATATATGACACAATATGTGATACAACACAACAATAATGTGTATTACTATTACAAACCACTCGTTATATTATTTGCAATGTTTTTGCATTACGAGTGAAAAAACAGCAGTTTTTCGCACAAAATATTGTGTTTGTCTTACAGTCTGTGAAGCACTCAATAAATGGCGCACTCTTTCAATGCATTACTAAATGCACTGCAATTCACACAACAGCCCAACAGAGCGCCAAAACCTTACTATACACAGAGTGTCGCCTTTACAGCCACACCACTCGCCAACACTGCCCGCACTCACCGCAGCACTTATGGCCGCATAGACACCGACTATACCACTATTTTTGCCGATTCGCCCGATTCTGACCACATTTTGTCCGCCATTTAATCGGTTTTAACGCTTGAATATCTGGTTTAGTGTTCAATCTGTTTGGCGCCGTTTCCACACTCTATACAACCAAACCATTGCACTGAATAAGCTGTGCATCAGCTGAGAGTACGCACCCAGACGTGCGCTCTTACGGACATTCCTTACGACCTTTTCGTCATATATTTGACAAGGCGCCGTTTCCACACTCTATACAACCAAACCATTGCACTGAATAAGCTGTGCATCAGCTGAGAGTACGCACCCAGACGTGCGCTCTTACGGACATTCCTTACGACCTTTTCGTCATATATTTGACATCAATTTCTTTACTTTTTATAAGTTTTTGTCAATCGTTTGTCACTTTAATTCACACAACGAATCAAATAATGACCAAAATGTGTCATATATTCAGTTATTCTATACATTTAATACCAATAAATGGGCTAAAATGATGACATGGGCTCCTATATAGTGCGCGCGCCTTTAATTGACAATTTAAACGTGATTAACCCGATTGAAATAAATCGATATAGATGAATATTAGTTCGAATATGATGTAGGAGTAGTTAACATATGAAAATGAGCATGGTACAGTGTGTATGTGCGCTAACGCCGTGACCTTTAGTAATGGCGCCAAAATTCCTGAGCATATGAGTGGTTGTTGTGTCCGAAAGAGTGTATGTCTGGCGTACGAGTGCTTCACCCGTCAGCTGGTGGGCGGGAAACAGCTGGAGAGCCAGTGTTGGGAGAATTGCAAACGTCTCAATACATTGACGGCTCCCGTAGGCCTCCAATATCTGCGGCGAATGACAATCGATGAGAAGATGGTTGGACTCAACGGATCCGAACGACGCCATTATGTTGACAGCTATCGTCCAACGCATCCAATGAGCACTCCATCGCTTCCGACGACATGTCAATCACAAACTCCTCAAACGGCGCCCAAGAGATCCCAAAGCAATCTTTTCGGTGATATATTTGACACGAAGTCGTTTGTCAATCCATTTGATACACAGAGTGTGTCTTGTGGTGAGTCTGGCATTAAATTCAATGAATGTGATCCACAAATGAACGAATTGATTGATCCATTGAACGATGGATTGGATACCAATTCAATGAATTTGAATGAAATTCCAATTGAATACCAATTGATGGATCAGTTTTGTGTTCAATACAAAGAAGTCTTCGATAACGTTATGGAAAGCTATTCAATTGAAGGCAAAGAATGGGCCCAAAGGATAGACACATTAAGAGGTGATCTCGTCAACAATCTATGCCAACAATTCAAACATCTCATTGTCACCAATGGATCACCACTTAATCGAAACTGGATTTTAAATGCCATTAATCTTAGGCTTGAAGCCAATGAACATTGCGATCAAAACATTCAATTCAATACACAATTCATTAATTAAAATACTTATTACATATAATTTAATTCATTTGTTAAACTAAATTTAATTTTGTATTTTTGTAAAAATGTTTAATAATAATATTTGTGTGCTTTCTATAAATTCAATTATAATTATAATACTTCTCATTTATCATACCATTAATGTAAATTATTTTGAAAGTTTGTATGTTTTAAATAAAGTCATTGAAATAAAACGACAAAATGGGAAGTTCTTTGTAGGGAAGTGTAGGAACAAAGTTGTGATAACTGTTAGTACCGTATAAACTATAACAGAACTTTAATACACTTTGCATACACTAAGGTTGCTGGCACCTGGACTGCACTGGTTAAAAGCACCTGGACTTGGGCCCATTCTTTGCCTTCAATTGAATAGCTTTCCATAACGTTATCGAAGACTTCTTTGTATTGAACACAAAACTGATCCATCAATTGGTGTTCAAT